CCTATTAGGGTGTGATCTGCTGTTCCTCTAAGAAATAGCAGTGGGGGTGATGAGAGCATAAAATGAAAGGGCCGAAGTATGTATATGTGTGAACCCTTAATGCAGAAATATCTTATACTTCTCTCTTCATACTCTCACTTCCATGACTTCCTTAAAATATAAACAGGAAGGACAATACTCCCTATTTTCCCCTTCTTCAAGTAATACTAGCATCTACCAATTCTTTAGGCCCTGAGCATTCAATATATGTTTTCAAATTTCCTTCATTTATTTTTTGCCTGGAATTTAATTCCTTCAAAGTTTTACAAGTTCTTCTGTTGTTTCCGATCTTGGAAATAACAGTTTGTTCTCTTTCTTTTTTGCTGTTATCCTCATCCTTTCTTTTTGTTTCCTGATGTGATATGACACAGGTTTCCCTGTTTCATTTGCTCTTCCAAAATGACTTAGTTTGACATATTTTATTTTCTTTTTGAAATCATCTGTTTATTTACATTTAGTAAGATCAGTGTTTTCTTGGTCCATTGGAAGGATAGTTTATCCTTGCTTCATCTCTTTTCCGTTCATTCAAGTAACATTCCAGATACCAAAAATCTTCTTCCAGTTATGTTTATAGTTTTGATTACAAGCCAATGAAATGAAAGTGCTTACTCTGAATTTCTGGGTATTTCATCATCAGGAGTATGGCCCAGCGCAGTGTGGTTGCAGACGTTTCTGTACCAGCACCAAATAAGTCAGCTACAAGAGCTTTAAGGTTTTCATTATGGAAATATCCACCATTTGTCATTGTCTTATTTTCCTGAAATATATTAAAAATAAAATACATTTTTATTTTATGGTAATATCCACCATTTGTCACTGTCTTTTTTTCCTGAAATGTATTAAAAATAAAATACAATAAAAACTAGTAAGGAAACTCAAACTACTTATATCATTGATATTCTCAAATACTAAGAGTTCACTTCATGGGTGTGTAATATCCATCCCCAGAGGTTAGATTTGCCTAAAACCTACTGGATTTCTAGGAGGAAAACTCTAAAACCAAATGGTTTTCCAGAAAGACTAAAGGATTGGCCCACCAGAGGGATCAGCCCAAGGGCTCTCCAAGGACACCCCCTCTCTGGAGCCACTGCTCCAGAAAACGCTTGATATTGTTGCCATTTTGAATGGAGAGAAGAAAAAGTCTGGGTGTAGTTTTAGTAGCTGCAGATCCTGAAATAAAGTAACGAAGAGGGAATGATTAGAAACTTCTAGAAATTTGGTTCCTTCTATATTTCTGAGGCAAGGATCTTAACCAATATTCATGTAGTTCATATGCAGGCATCTTTTCAAAATTTGTAAAAAAAAATAAATCAGTAATTCCAGGCATATATAAAATGATCCATTACCTCTCTTTGCCGAACAAGAAATGAATCAATTAAGCTCCTCTGATCATTTTCATCAAGGTCTTTGAGATGTTCTATAAAGGTGGCCTGTATGAAATCATGGACTTCCTTTCTATTATTAATTGCTGTTTTACGAGCACCCAAAAGGACCCCCAGCATGGGAAACAGGTTATAAAGCTGAAAGAATGATGAAAGAAAACATATATTAAGGAAGTTGAATGCTCTGAATACATTTCTCAGGTGGCATCACAAAGCATTTCCATCAAAATAATGTTCCATAAGTCTACAAGGAATAAACAAGAATATTAAGCAAAAACACATGATTATGGGAGCTATGGATAGTCAATATTTCTAATTCACTAAGACCCAAACCCATCGGACTAAACCTCCACACAGTTATTGGGAGAGGGACTGCTCATTTTCAACATACTATTGGATGATCTCCTCCTGCTTACATCCTGTTGATTCCCAAACAAGCAATGGGAACACTCAGTATAAGAATCCAAATGCAAGTCATAGTCAAGAGAGCTATTTGGCACATTTAGAGTTGTGTAGTAGTATATAAAGAAAGACAGAAAATGTATTTGCAATGAAGGCTCCTACCCCTCCAATTTAAGTGCATGCACAAGCCTGTATGAGGAAAGGAAAGGAAGTGATGAAGCATGCCTTAGGACATCATGATGCTAAAAAGTGGTTTGCACACTTGACTGAGTTGTTTGGATGCAATTACATAAGGGTGGTATTTGAATCCTGATATCATTATGTTCATGTTGTCTTTTGGAAGCAATCTTGCTTCGGATGCCCATGAGAAGAAAGATCCTTTGCTTCCCAATAAAGCCTGAATGACACACATTCTGATGCCTATTTTTCATGACTTTTTTTTCAAAGGCAAAATTAGATTACCAATATAGCAGGGGTTGCCGAAAGCCGAATAGTTTCACTAAATAGCTTCAGTAGTCGTAGAAATGTGGGATCTTTATAGTCATAGCGCTTCCCAAGTAGAATAGAAACTATGATGTTGGAAACAGCAGCAGACATAATGGTGGTGACCTCAAATGGTTTTCCTGGGCAAAGAACAATAAATCAAAACAGAATTGTGAATGAAACCAGGATTACATCTGCTAAATAAACTAGATATTGCAGTTTTTATGATCTCATGCCTTTTTTTTACTGCAACTGGCTTACCAAAAAGCAAAATAGCATGATGAATTTGTAGGTATGTAGGAATGGTCTGCAAATGGAACCTCAGTTAGTTAGACAAAGAAGTTTTAATTTTCTAGCTTATTGTATATCATAGGGCTTCTCTAATTTCTTCTTTCTCAAGGCAATGAATGGTAAATTTTATCCATATCATTTCTGAGTTGCAAAAATGCAGAGAACCATAAATGCCAACGATTAGAGCTCTGTGTATCTCCTTGCTGATACCCTATGGTCATCCAGACTTTTGCAACCCAGATACTGTGCATTAGGCACTTTTGACACTGGAGGGTTTAGGAACAAATATTTTGGAAAATATGGGATTCTTTTTCCTACTATGTCAGCTACCAGTGAGGTGTGCTGCTGAATAAGTGCACCAATGGCAGTTTGATCCTTAGGATTGAATAATGGGGGATCCCATTTTGGCAATTGAAAGACAATACTTTTGTTGGAGAACATGGGGAAAATAGGAATACTCTAGGTCACTTAATACACGTAGATGATGTGCTTTTGCTCTTTGAAATACTGCAACATGTTTATCATTCTCCCAAAGCAGAGTGGAATAAACGGTCCAGTGTGCAGCACCTTTTCATGCTTAGATGGAGAGCTTGCAGCCCCAACTCCTCTCTTTATATAGGATCTAGAGGATTGTGTAAAGAAAATTAAGTCTAGAACTGTTATTTTTGAGAGATCTTTGGATTACACTAAATTAACTTTTCAAGACTTCTGGAAGCATTTTGACATCCATAAGTGACATTTCTGTAAATATCATCTGTATAAATTGATCAGCTCGGCATCTTTGCAGGAAAATACTGGTGAGATTAAGAACTGTTGGAGAGAGGACACTCCAAAAGCACCCCTTGTTCATTTGATATAATCTGAGGAAACTATTTCACATTCTACGTTTGTCCTGGAGGGTGCTGCAGTAGAGCCTTAGGAGGAAATGCCAACCCACCTGCATAAGTCTTAATTCTCTTCATCAAAACACTACACTCTTCAGTGATTTTGTCTTCAATGGTCCTCTTGCCCACTCCGTAGTCCCGTAATGTGGATAACGTGAACCGTCGCATCACTTTCCAATTCTCACCATTAGAAAAAACAACACCTGGAGAGAAAACATAGAGAAAAGGGGTCAGATTGAGAGATGTAATTTTATGAAGAAAAGTCCATGATTTTGGGTATAATTTTGGGGGGGGGGGAGTTCATCTCAGTCTTGTTAGAAAATCAGGAATGAAGGACGTGGAAATCAGTTTGTTTCTATGTCATCTTTCCACCAAATATTTATTTACCTCTTTCCAGGAGCCTTAGAATTTTGTGGATATTTTGTGAGCAAGTGGTTGCAAAGACCTGAAGTTTTTTTGTTTTTGTTTCTTTGGTAAATGATGCCTCAATGGATTTTGAGTAAGTATTGCATCCATCATGTAAAATACTCAGGTCCTCTTCCTGGAGAGGTGGCAGGAGATGATCGAGATGGGACTTTGGTAGATGTCCTTGAGTGACCTGCATTTTTCAATTAATGCCTGGAAGAGAGGCTGCTAGCTCTACTTATTTACTTATTAAACATAACAATGTAGCTAATCCTCACTGATATGTAACCTTCCCTTACTGATGCTTAAACTAAGCAACTCCAGGGGGAGATTGAAGGGCTCTAAGACTTGCCCAACAAAAGCAACCACTTTGGGAGTCGATTCCATGGAATTTCCTCCTCGCCATTACTTTGACTCACTGCAGATGGTGGGGGAGGAATCTCGCTAATGCTGTAAATATTGGGATTTCATTAAGGAACTTTTATTAATGGTAAATTTCCTGGCGTCTTTCCCAGTGTGTAAGTTCTTTGTTATCCACCATGAAAATGGTCAAGCTGCTTGTTCCTTACATAGGCCAGCCACTTCTAACACTCACCAGAAACATGTACTATTGGCAAATTCTCAGTTCCCATAGCTTGGGGTTAATATTGTCATTTTTTAAAATTATTATTATTTTGGTAATGGATTCTGTGGCAGAGGATTTCTGTACTGTGCACATTGTAGGTATGTTATGGAGAAATGCTCCATGAGG